TCCAATGGGGTTAAGTTGATTATTGTTGTTTCGGGATCGATGTTAACTTGGCCGTAACGTTTCCTTCTGAGCCAGTTATATGTCTTGTCATGTTTGGTAATAAGTTTTATTCGTTGTTTCTGGTTGTTCTCAGAAAGGAGCATTGAGAAACGGAGGAAGTCATGAGATGACAAAAATGTACGTGCACGATCATACAAAGACCTAAACTGGGAACGAGACTTGCACACCGTGTCACCGGACCTGGCAATCTCATCCTTCATGAAAACGCGCTCAATGTTCAACGTGTGGTATGCCTTGGCTCGGTGAACACGCTTTTCTACACCGCTAGGACAAACGCCATTGTCTAAACATCGTCTAAGAAAACCTACGTTAAGGGCGACACTACGGTAATGAAAACGTGCTTTCAGCGTTAGATTCAGAATATCTATCTGAGGCTGGGTGTATCTCGATTTAAAATATTTGAACAAACGGCGAGGAGACAACAATTTGATAACCGCAATCAGTAATACAAGCTGGATCGACATTTGTGTACACTGTATTCATGTATTGTAAAACTGTGGAGACAATGTGCAATAAAACGATGAAAAATGTGAAGAAATTGTGTAGAGAAAGAAAGGGATTCAAACAAGTTTTCGTACAACACTCATCAGGAATCGTCGTTGTACTAAAGGACACTGAAACAAAAATTGAACTATTATAGAAAATCTAAGTTAGAGAAATAACACTAAGAGCAACAACAGTGAAATTTACAAGTGTGAATTTTAACAATCAAAGCGAGAAAAGAACAAAGGGGAAAGGAAGGAAAGACAACGTGATAACACATAACAGCAGTACATTAAACCTAGAACATTAACGGCCAAGCTTGGCCGCACTAAACACGACACGTTACTTGAACAATTTCAACCCAATTATACTATCTTTCTGTACGCACAAATTAGTCTTGTACAGACGCTGATAGATAGCTTCCAACACTTTTAACTGTAGTCCATAACCATGACGACCACGGCACTATACAGTGAACGAAGAGTCGGAATACGCACCGCAACAATCAGGACTAGCCAGCAGATGATTGTACACTGAAGACTTGCTACCACGAAACCTACGCACAACACTAACACCCTCACCGGCACTCTCACCACCACTCCCATCACCGCTCTCCGACTCACTGATCCCTCCGCCGTCCGTTCCATCCTCCGCTTCCTCTGTACTCTCTCTGTCTCGTCCATCCCGCCTGACCGGGTCCATTGAACTCAACTCGGCCGTCCCCCTGCTATCACGTCCCTCCTTTCGCCCTTGTCCGCTGAGTGCGTAGCTTCTGTTGTAGTTGGCTGTTGATCGTCTTGGTCTTTCAATTATGGGCTTGGATGGTGGATTAGTTGTAGTTGCTGTAGATTGCGTTGTTGGTGTTGGCGTGGGAGTTACTGATATGCAAGGTGGGTCTTTTTGAGTCGGCATTTGTAGTGTTAATGCAGCTGTCAGTGTTGCTCGCGGTCTGCCACTGGCAAGCTCCACCGCCGCAGGAACCGATGGTGGAGGATCAGGAGGAGGCAGTGGGACCGGGACCGCAAGCGGCACCGCCCCAGCCAAAGCCGCCGGGGGCACTGACGAGGGAACCACCGACGGCCGGAGCAAAGGCGGCGACACAAGCCGACCCGATGAGCCACCACGCCCATTCTCCTCCACCACCGCCACCAACGACGGCGGAGCAAGCACAGTCCGAGAGCCAGGATCCGCGGGTTGTGTAGGCAACGGCTGTGTGGTTAATGGTTGTTTTCTAGGTCGCCCTCGCTTCGGTCTTTGTTGTTGTGCGCAAGGTGGAAGTATGTGACGTGGCGTGTGTTGTTTGATGCGTGCGTTCAGGTGCTGAACAGTCCTACCAACATACCGACTAGCGCATTGTCGGCATTCAAAGTTGTAAATAAGATGACTTAGGTGAAGGGCTGGTAGGACATCCTTCCGCACCGTAAACGCACCGCCGTAAACCGTTTATCGTAAGCCGACGTTTACTGGTCAGTACATTGTATATGACTCTTATTGTTCGTCTCAATATAAAGTAAACTTAGTGCGTAACCTTGTAGACCGTGCGAAGCGTATTTGTTCGTCCTGTAAGCTGCAGGAAGAGCTTGACTTTCTCCGGTCAGTTTTCGTTAAGAACGGGTACCCTGAGTTTTTGCTGCAGAAGTTGTTGAAAGTCGAACAAACTACTAAGGCTCCTTTGTTTGGTCCTGCTCGTTGTCCCGTCTATTTATGTTTGCCTTGGAAAGGACAGGAGTCGACTAAAGTTTGTAGTGCAGTCAAGTCCGTTGTTCGTCGAACATACTATGCAGTACACTTTGTGCCAGTTTTTACGACGATGCGTGCGTTTACGGTGCGGAAGGATGTCCTACCAGCCCTTCACCTTAGTCATCTTATTTACAACTTTGAATGCCGACAATGCGCTAGTCGGTATGTTGGTAGGACTGTTCAGCACCTGAACGCACGCATCAAACAACACATACCACGTCACATACTTCCACCTTGCGCACAACAACAAAGACCGAAGCGAGGGCGACCTAGAAAACAACCATTAACCACACAGCCGTTGCCTACACAACCCGCGGATCCTGGCTCTCGGATTGTGCTTTCTCCGCCGTCGTTGGTGGCGGTGGTGGAGGAGAATGGGCGTGGTGGCTCATCGGGTCGGCTTGTGTCGCCGTATTTGCTCCGGCCGTCGGTGGTTCCCTCGTCAGTGCCCCCGGCGGCTTTGGCTGGGGCGGTGCCGCTTGCGGTCCCGGTCCCACTGCCTCCTCCTGATCCTCCGCCATCGGTTCTTGCGGCGGTGGAGCTTGCCAGTGGCAGACCGCGAGCAACGCTGACAGCTGCATTAACACTACAAATGCCGACTCAAAAAGACCCACCTTGCATATCAGTAACTCCCACGCCAACACCAACAACGCAATCTACAGCAACTACAACTAATCCACCATCCAAGCCCATAATTGAAAGACCAAGACGATCAACAGCCAACTACAACAGAAGCTACGCACTCAGCGGACGAGGGCGAAAGGAGGGACGTGATAGCAGGGGGACGGCCGAGTTGAGTTCAATGGACCCGGTCAGGCGGGATGGACGAGACAGAGAGAGTACAGAGGAAGCGGAGGATGGAACGGACGGCGGAGGGAGCAGTGAGTCGGAGAGCGGTGATGGGAGTGGTGGTGAGAGTGCCGGTGAGAGTGTTAGTGTTGTGCGTAGGTTTCGTGGTAGCAAGTCTTCAATGTACAATCATCTGCTGGCTAGTCCTGATTGTTGCGGTGCGTATTCCGACTCTTCGTTCACTGTATTGTGCCGTGGTCGTCATGGTTATGGACTACAGTTAAAAGTGTTGGAAGCTATCTATCAGCGTCTGTACAAGCCTAATTTGTGTGTACAGAAAGATAGTATAATTGGGTTGAAATTGTTCAAGTAACGTGTCGTGTTTAGTGCGGCCAAGCTTGGCCGTTAATGTTCTAGGTTTAATGTACTGCTGTTATGTGTTATCACGTTGTCTTTTCATTCTTTCTCCTTTGTTCATTTCTCGCTTTGATTGTTAAAATTCACACTTGTAAATTTCACTGTTGTTGCTCTTAGTGTTATTTCTCTAACTTAGATTTTCTATAATAGTTCAATTTTTGTTTCAGTGTCCTTTAGTACAACGACGATTCCTGATGAGTGTTGTACGAAAACTTGTTTGAATCCCTTTCTTTCTCTACACAATTTCTTCACATTTTTCATCGTTTTATTGCACATTGTCTCCACAGTTTTACAATACATGAATACAGTGTACACAAATGTCGATCCAGCTTGTATTACTGATTGCGGTTAACAGATTTTTAGAATTTCGATTTGAAAAATTATTGCTGCGGCTTTGGCCGCACTAGCCGAACTGGTTCCAACGCCCCTGATGTTGACCACCCAGGCTAAGCACCCAGACTGACCACTCAGATTAACTCAGACTAAGCCAGACTAAGCACTCAAACTAAGCACCCAGACTCCAAAACCACGTGATATGAGTTTGTGCCTTTGCATGACCCCATAGAAAGGGTATGAAGAGTTGCACACTCTTGGTAGCTTAGTTACCCTTGATCATACTGTTCACTCTAGTACTATGATCATACTGTACACTCTAGTACTATGATCATACTGTACACTCTAGTACTATGATCATACTGTACACTCTAGTACTATGATCATACTGTACACTCTAGTACTATGATCATACTGTACACTCTAGTACTATGATCATACTGTACACTCTAGTACTATGATCATACTGTACACTCTAGTACTATGATCATACTGTACACTCTAGTACTATGATCATACTGTACACTCTAGTACTATGATCATACTGTACACTCTAGTACTATGATCATACTGTACACTCTAGTACTATGATCATACTGTACACTCTAGTACTATGATCATACTGTACACTCTAGTACTATGATCATACTGTACACTCTAGTACTATGATCATACTGTACACTCTAGTACTATGATCATACTGTTCACTCTAGTACTATGATCATACTGTACACTCTAGTACTATGATCATACTGTTCACTCTAGTACTATGATCATACTGTACACTCTAGTACTATGATCATACTGTACACTCTAGTACTATGATCATACTGTACACTCTAGTACTATGATCATACTGTACACTCTAGTACTATGATCATACTGTACACTCTAGTACTATGATCATACTGTATACTCTAGTACTAAGATCATACTGTACACTCTAGTACTATGATCACACTGTACACTCTAGTACTATGATCATACTGTACACTCTAGTACTATGATCATACTGTACACTCTAGTACTATGATCATACTGTACACTCTAGTACTATGATCATACTGTACACTCTAGTACTATGTGAACAATGGAAGACTGCTATCTGTACTGAACTTCCAGTCAACATTGTGTAAATAAACAAAAGTGGAACCACACTAATCAATCATGTATCCTACCTGCAGTCTCTTGTTGTTATAGTCAACCACCACAAGATCACCATCGTCATCCACAGTTACATCAGTGGGGTCCTTGAATTCAGCATTACAACTGCCCTGTTTGCCTATATCACGTATGTATGTACCATCCAGTGTGGTGACCTACAGGTACATACATGTACATCACAACACAATACACCAACAGAAAAGAACAGCATGGACAAAACTTCATTTTAACATTTCAAACGTTTCCCAGTACAGAATGATACAGTATGTCTGCATCATACATAAGCTCAGTTACTCATGCAAGAATTGCACCAATTAGAAAAGAAGTGGGCTTTGCACAGGAAAGCTTAGTTGCCCAGGCACATGGGTATTATAGGCACAGTGCTGGTGATGTGAGTATGTGTCATATTGCTGTCCCTGCACAGTTTACAAGTTGGCCAATTTTTTTCTTTTTAAAATTTGAAATCGTGCTACAAAGTGTGTAATGGAGTCGCCATGACAAATACTGATATAAAAAGAACTAAAGACTACAATATTAATGACGGGAAGTGCCAGCTTCGGCAACAACTAGAGAGGCAGAAGAAGAGACAGGTGCATGCACAGCGAAAACAGAGCAGTTACCATGCAGGCACATAGCACTTGCTCTGAGCAAAGCAAAGCTAAGGCGGCAGCGGATGAATGCTATGACAACCGAATACGGTTCGCTTCTTTTTTAAGCAATGAGGGATGCAATACGCTTGTAAAGCGAGGCAGATTGCTTGCCCATGCCACCGGTTGTCGAAAAAACCGAAGTTGGCCAATTTTTACGGGCATTTTTTATGATTTCAATTCGACAGATATGTCTTGAATTTCTCAAAACCTGTCTGGACATGAAGGAGCTGTCCTAAATTTTAGTTTCTTTCTTGATTTGCTGAAATTATGTTTTACTTCTCCCCGCCATCCCAACGTCTCGATTTTTTTTGTCTCTGCTCTTTCATTCATTTGCCACCTTGTTTTCTTCCCGAATGGACGTGGGAATGCAAGCGGGCGTCAGGATTGTTGTATGTGTGTGGTGCGACTCCTCATGCCAGGTAGTTATGTGAGCCCTAGGTGGGAGAATTCTTAGCCCCGTTGGTCGTTTGTTTGCACACACTGGGCGGTACGAGATTGGTGCTGGGGCCAGTATGCTTTAGCCCTTGGTGGGAAGGTTGTATGTGTCAGGAGCTATTCCTTGGCTCTCGATAGTCCGTACAGGCAGTACACATAAGCCGTTGGTGGGCGGTACATGATCGTCTCCCAGCAAGCAGTATGCTTCAGCGCTTGGTGGGTGTATGTGTTACACCTGGGGGGGGGGGGGGGGGCAGTATACTGTAAGACATGTTATTATAACGAGTCGCAAATTTAACGATTGTCCAAAATTCATAGGTTAACGAGAAGATATGTTAACGATCTTGCAGTATTCTGCCATATCCACACACAGCATATATGAAGCAGTACGGCCTCAACGGATCTTATTATAACGAAGAAATGTCATCCGTTAAAACGTTAGATTTGCTTCCTCGTTATATATACATGTCTTACAGTACTTCATCCCTCAATGGGATGTATGTGATAGCTCTTGGTGAGCTGGTTGCTTCAGCCCTCAATGGAATGTACTTCCTCCACGTCATTAAAATTATTGCTTCCCAGAGCGATTTTTCAAATTTATGTTGTCCACTCAACGTGAAAAGAAATCAGCTAGAAACTGAGGCAGAGCATTGTAGACAGACCAAGCTTTAGTTTTGGCCTCCCGTCTTTGCTGCACTTACAGATAAGGTCGACATCTTCATCAGAGTTTGAGGCAGACCCTTCTGCACTCAGCGATACACTGAACAAGACGCACGTTCAAATTCAGGTCATGAGACTTCGTTTTCAAACCATCCATGACTCCAGCTGGCAGGCGATGACGGCAAACTAGCATTTTTCAAGTACACTGTAACGACCTTCCAGCGGGATTGGGTAAGCAGTTCCGCCCCTTCTTTTCTTGGAAAGTGCTTTGCTGATTTTGTTGGTGTTTTCAGATATGCTACCTTCACAGCAACATGCGGCACACGTCGTGTTTTTTTAGGAAATTGAGAACAATTTGTTCTTGACATCGCCAACTTCAGCATTTCGAATTCTGGAGAGATACCAGGATTCTTATACCCGAGCTTGCAGTCTCGATAAATGCCCACGCAAACTATGTGGAAGGGCAAGAACTCCAGAAAAAAAGATATGTGCTCTGGGGCAGAATAGTGCAGAGCGCGATGAATATATTTAGTGCGGAAGAGAGCTCGGACAAAGTCCGAGACCACTATGGCTTCAATGACAAGTAGACATTGCTCAGGAAGGGTGGGTCCAATGTTCGAACACAGAAAACATCGATTCCGAAAGTTCGACTAAGACGAGCAAGCCGCAAACATTGTGATGTGCGAAGTGACAATTTTAATGACACGGAGGAAGTATGTGTTAGCCTCCGGTGAGCAGGTTGCTTTAGCCCTCAATGGGGTGTACATGTTAGCCCCCGTTGGCAGTTTGCTTCAGCCCTCGGTAGGGTGAATGTGTTAGTACCCGGTGAGCAGGTTGCTTTAGCTGTCGGTGGTCAGGTTGTTGGCCTCAAAGGCCATCCATGCACCCTTGGTGGGCAGGTTGCTGGCAGCGTCGGCCAATTGTGCCCCCTAGGTGGGCAGTATGCTAGCAGCCTGGTGCCAACAGGATCATTTAGTGCTTGGTGGGCTGCCTGTCGGCCTATATGGCCGCTCGTGTGATTGGACCATGGTGGAGCCGATTAGTGCACTGATTCTGTGCGGTTGACTAGAGTAGCGGAGCAGCCAGCAAGGGTGTTTTTTTAAACGACTGTTGAGTGCGAACAAGAGACTGACAACGGGAACAACGGGAACAGGTATATTGGTCGAACGACTTTTATTATATGACTAAGACCAGGACGAACGAAACGACTACATGGTGATTATTGAAGAGGGAGATTATTGAAGAGAGCTTACTGAAGAGAGAGAGAGAGAGAGAGAGAGAGAGAGAGAGAGAGAGAGAGAGAGAGAGAGAGGGAGAGAGAGGGAGAGAGAGCTTATTGAGGAGAGAGAGTTGAAGAGAGAAGCAACGCAATATAAAGGGTAGCTATGTCAAACATGGACGCGCAAGTAGCTACCCAGGCCAAATGAATAATGCATGAACTAATGAATTATACGAGAGACCTTGGAAGCTCAGGGCCCTACGCTATGCTTTTTTGCCTAGCTCATCGTACATGTTATAAGAACTGATGGAATTGTCTTTTTCCGTTGATTGGACACATCACTGTATTGCAAAAACGTTTCAATCGGTTTGAATATTATGAGTTAGGCAAAAGTATTTGCAGAATTTATTGCGGATTGTTATTTCTCTAATAATCATCTACTTTGTTTTGCTCCTTTAATTTTTATCTCCTTATATTGTAAATCAACAAATTTTGGCTTGCACGTCCAAAAATTTAACGTGAGTGACCTGCTGCTCACGTCGAAATTTGGACATTACATAATTTTACAGTCTCCTATATAAATACGTATCCTGTTCGACGGCAAAAGAGGCTGCAGATTTAGTTTTTCTGCGCGTCGACGGGATGTCTGCCCTGACGTTTACTGGGACCGGCGCTGACTCTGCCGATCACGGGGGTTCTGGACTCGACGGGATGTCTGTCCTGACGTTTCCTGGGACCGGCTTAGACTCTGCCGATCACGGGCGTTCTGGACTCAACGGGATGTCTGTCCTGACGTTGCCTGGTGCCGCCGGACTCTACCGATCACGGGCGTTCTGGAGTCGACGGGATCTCTCTTCCGACGTTTCCTGTGACCGGCACTGAATCGCTCGTTCACGCTTATTTTGGAGACGACGGGATCTCTCTTCCAAAGTATGTTTATGCTGACGCATCCTATCACCTAATCATCGTCTGCAGCCTCTTTTGCCGTCAAACAGGATACGTATTTATATAGGAGACTGTAAAGTTATGTAATGTCCAAATTTCGACGTGAGCAGCAGGTCACTCGCGTTGAATTTTTCGACGTGCAAGCCAAATAACGCCAGCTGAACTTTCGCGTCGCAGACATCGCGTCGACGCGCAGAAAAACTAAATCTGCAGCCTCTTTTGCCGTCGGACAGGATACGTATTTTAGGAGACTGTAAAGTTATGTAATGTGCTCCACAGGCAACCATGCATTCGGCGTCGTCATTGGCTCAACAGGTCAATGTACATGTATTACTACAAAAAGGCCAGAAAATCGGATTCCTGTATTAAAATCAACTAATGTTCGCTGGCGATTTAATTTCGCTGATTTCGCCGCTTAGTACCAACCGGCCAAAGTAAATCGCAGGCCAACGTTTGTCATATAGGCAAATGATGCATGATTGAGCAATGGATGCATGTGAGAGCAATAATACCGATCGATTTCATATTTGACGTGAAAGTGCTCGTCACGTCGGAAATAACGTGCATCTTAACCTCTCTAATCGAGAGGTTTCTATTTCTCATCGGCCAAAATTTGTTGATTTACAATATAAGGAGATAAAAATTAAAGAAGGAGCAAAACAAAAGTAGATGATTATTAGAGAAATAACAATCCCCAATAAATTCTGCAAATACTTTTGCCTAACTCATAATATTCAAACCGATTGAAACGTTTTTGCAATACAGTGATGTGGCCAATGAACGGAAAAAGACAATTCCATCAGTTCTTATAACATGTACGAGGAGCTAGGCAAAAAAGCATAAAAGCATAGCGTAGGGCCCTGAGCTTCCAAGCTCTCTCGTTTCCTCCTCGTCTCCCTATTTCTTTCCAAATCCCCCTCTACATCAGGGAGTCGTATGCATAATACGACGAATATTGGTACGGTACGGGACAGATACAGGAGCCCGCAAAAATTGTGGACAGCTGTTATGTACAATCCTGTAGAGCCTTTGTAGTCACAGATACAGGACAGATACGGGACAGATACGGGATAGCTCCAGGCGTGACACAAACAAACAAACAAACAAACAAACACACACACAAATACCAAACGAGAGAGCTTGGAAGCTCAGGGCCCAACGCTATGCTTTTATGCTTTTTTGCCTAGCTCATCGTACATGTTATAAGAACTGATGGAATTGTCTTTTTCCGTTCATTGGCCACATC